TTTATTTTAGTTGTAATTGCATTTTGTTCCTGGGAGCATGTTGGTGCAGCATCCATTTACTCCCCTGCCATTTTTAATCTTCCATTGATTTTTAGAGAGTGAAAGGGATGGGTGGGGGGAGAAAGAAATATTGATGTGAGAGACATAATCAATTAGTTGCCTCTGTACCCCAGGTAAATGCCCTTGACGGGGAATCAAACCTGCAACCATTCTGTGTGGGCTGACACTGCCACAGCAGCACTGGCCAGGGCAACCATGTTTTTTGTTTGTTCTTTTAAATATATTTTTATTGATTTCAGAGAGGAAGGGACAGGGGGAGAGAGGTAGAAACATCAATGATGAGAATCATTGATTGGCTGCCTCCTGCATGTCCCCTACTGGGGATTGAGCCCACAACAAGGCATGTGCCCTTGACCTTCAGTCCAAAGGCCAACACACTATCCACCGAGCCAAACCAGCCATTTTCTTTTTTTTCAGGGCAACCATGTTTTAAAATGACTGTTACATTGAATGGATGTGTCATAGGATGTACAATTTATACCTTCATCCTTGTTATGGTACTATAATTGATAAGATACTTAGTAAAGATCTTAAGTTTGTATGATCCTTTTTGAGATTAGTACAGTTATAATTAAGTAAAGCTCTAGGCATTTTGTTTACTGTCATTGATTAAACCAGTGGTTCTCAACCTTCTGGCCCTTTAAATACAGTTCCTCATGTTGTGACTCAACCATAATCCTGGGGTCCAACACCAACAGGTCCAGGGGTCCCCAAAGGTGTGGATGGAGTTCGCAAAGAAGGAATGACATGGAGACAGCGTTCAGTTGATCAGCAGCTTAGCCAGGATCTCTAGCCAAGTTCTGGTCTGGATCTTCAGCGAAGTTCTGGTGTTTATTGTCTTGTTACATCTGTATTTATACCAGTTGATTTTAATCCTGTCAATTTCTATACAGTTCCTCATGTTGTGACCCAACTATAAAATTATTTTTGTTGCTACTTCATAACTCTAATGTTGCTACTGTTATGAATCATAATGTAAATATCTGATATGCAGGATGGTCTTAGGCGACCCCTGTGAAAAGGTTGTTCGACCGCCAAAGAGGTCGAGACCCACAGGTTGAGAACCACTGGATTAGACTCATTTACTTATTTTAACCATTTTCTGCATATATTAGATTATTATGATCTCAGAATTACTAAAAACAACTAGTGTTTCCTGTGGTAACTGCTGGTTTCCTTGACTAGACTTAAATGTTCCTAAATTTCCAATTATACATAAGTTATTTGTACTCCTGCATATGGCTGATTCTGCCTATTACAATAGAAGCTATTTGGATTTTATTGTTGTGGGTTTTTCAGTTTTCCCTAGGTCAATCTCATAGGCAACTAGTGCCTAAACAAAAAAAATATGTTAGGACAGCAAAAAAAGATCATTGTGATTTAAGTTGAAAGCACCAAGGAGAAAGGATTTAAAACTTGGGTTGAGCTGTGAAAGTGGGAGAATTTAAAGAGGATTAAGAGATTATTGCAAATAAGGGGAAAGAATGAGGAAAGATAAGCAATGTGTTTGGCTGAGTGGATAGATTGAATGGATCAAAGTGTTTAAGATGGAAAATTTTAAGAAAAAAGTTGAGAAGTTAGTTTTGAGTCAACATGTAGAAAACATTTTATTAATGGCATAGTAAGGGTTTTAGATTTAGCTTATAATAGGTAGATTGCTTCTAAAGTATTTTGAACAGGGGAATGATATGAAATGGTATTTTAGAAATATTAATTAAATGATATTATGTAGGATAAATTGAGGATAAGGGAGGAGAGGCTAATTAGGCAGTCATTACATTTAAGTGAAAAATAATAGCCAGCATTATAGCCATGGCAGAATGGAAAGAAAGCTGTAGGTGTGAGTAATCATATGAATAAAACTTTGTAGAGGGAGAGCGTTGAAGTAATAATCACAAGGGGTTTTAAAAATCAGCATTATTGAAATATAATTAAAATAGATACAATTTATCCATTTTAAATGTTCAGTTTGATGAGTTTTGGCAAATGCATACATACTCTAACTACTGCCACAATCATGACATAGAACAATTTCTTCACCCCAGAAAGTTCCCTTTTATTTCTCTACAGATAATCCTCTCCCTCCAGCCCTGACCTGGCAACCTCTGATCTACCTCCTGTCACCAGGTTTTTGCAATTTTTTTTTTTTTTTGCCTTTTCTAGAATTTCCTGTAAATGGAATCTTACGATCTTATGCTTCTTTCACTTAGCATAATGCTTCTGAAATTCATCCGTGTGTTGCATGTATTTGTAGTTCTTTTCTCTTTGGTTGCGTAGTAATCCACATCCATTCACTGGATGATGGGCATTGGGTTGTCTTCAGTTTTTGGATGCTATGATTAGGGCTGCTCTGGATACATATATATAATGAATACGTATTACTTGACTTGACTATAAAAAGGAGTGGAATCTTATTATGGATTGACCTAGAGAGTATTATGCTAAGTGAGATAAATAAGTCAGACAAAGGAAGACAAATACCATATGATTTCACTTTTATGTGGAGCCTAAAGAACAGAATAAAGGAAGTAACAAAACAAAAACAGACTCAAAGTGGCTGTATCATTTTGCACCAGCTGTGTAAGAATGTTTTAATTCTTCCTCTTGTTAACACTTGGTATTACCAGCCTTTTTAATTTTAGTGAATAATAAAGTTTTAAGGCAGGGAAATAGAATGAATAAAATGAGAGCATCAAGTGGGAGGAGTTAATTTATAGACGAGTGACAGTGGGGATGGCTTGCAGTTTGGGTATGGAGTATAGGCTGACTCTGAGTGGAAAAAAGACAGACCTCAGGGGTTCTACAACTTCTGTGATAGGACTTTGAATAGAATGGCACTTTTGAGTTAGAGAGTCATGAATTTGAAGATTGGCTCTTTTACTTTCTGTATGAGCCTAGACAAGTTATTTATCCTTTCCAAGCTTTAGTTTTCTCCATTTGTCAAATGTGAAATAATGGATAGTTGTAGGTACTAATGCAAATTAGCATTCAGTGAATGGTAACTATCATCATCATCATTGATACTTAAATATAATTTTATGCCCCTTTAACTTGTGACTTTCTTATAAATATCTGCATGTTTTTCCTTCCTAACTGATCTCTTCCCCACTGTTTTTATTCCCTATCACAATAGTCAGAGTGATTTTGTTAAGCACTAGTCTTGTCAGGTTACTTCCCTGATCTAATCTTTTCAGTGGCCTCTACAAGTGGGTACTTCCACTCATCCTTGTCTGCGCACAAATATTAGTTTTTGTCTGTGAGTTTTTATATTCTTCCTATTAGGTCCTCTGTTAAAAACATCTCAGTACCATTTACATCTTTCTTTCTACCATTTATCACAAATAATTGTTTAATTTTTCTCCTCAGTACTATTAAATCCATGAAGTCTGGCACTTGATAGGTGCTCAGTAAATTTGTTGAGTAGATTATCTTGTTTTAAATTCCTTGAGGACAAAACTTAAATTCCTTCTGGCATTTAACATGTTGCTTTCTGTAGCAGAAGTTCTTTTAAAAAAAAAAATATTTTTTATTGATGTCAGAGAGAGAGGGAGAAAGAGAGAGTGGGCTAGAAACATCAATGATGAGAGTCATTGATCAGCTGCATCCTGCATGCACCCTACTGGGGATCAAACCCAAAACCACAGCATGTGTCCTGACCAGGAATTGAACCATGGCCTTCTGGTTCATGGGTTGACGCTCAAACCACCGAGCAACACCAGCCTGGCTGTTTCACTTTTTAAAAAAATTTTATTTGGAAAGAATTATAATAGACTCACAAGAAGCTGTAAATAATAGTGCAGAGAGGTCCCTTATACCCATCATCCAGTTTCTCCCAGTAGTAATATCTTTTATGTAAGTAGAGTTATCAAAACTAGGAAATTGACACTGGCACAATACAATTAACTGTAATACAGACCTTATTCAAATTTCACCAGTTTTTGCATGTACTCATTTTTTTATTTTCTTGAATGTCTATGTGTATAATTATATGGCAGTTTTAAAAATAAGAGTATTTTGGTTTATTGGAAAGTTGCAAAGCTAATACAAAGAATTCCTATATAGTCCTTACCCACTCTTCCCGAGAACATCTTACAGCTGTATAGTACATTTGTTACCTTAACAAACCAACATTGGTTAGTTTTTTCGGACACCATCCAGAGTACAGCAGCACACTTAGTCATTATGTCTCTTGAGGCTCACCTAGACTGTGACAGTTTTATATTTTCTTTGTGGGGTTTTTTTATTATTGATTTCAGAGAGGAAGAGAGAGGGAGAGAGCAGTAGAAATATCAATGATGAGAGAGAATCATTGATCAGCTGCCTCCTGCATGCACCATACTGGGGATCACCTGCAACCCAGGCATGTACCCTGACTGGGAATTGAACCTGGGACCCTTCAGTCCGCAGGCCAATGCTCGATCCACTGAGCCAAACCAGATAGGGCTTTCCTTGTTTTTTATAATCTTGACAGCTTTGAGGAATAATGGTCAGTTATTTATAGAATATTTCTCAAATTAGTTTGTTTGATGTTTTTCTCATGGTTTAGTTTGTCATGACGCTTTTCTCATTGTTAACCCATAACTGGGATTATAGGCTTTTGAGAGAAAGAGCACAAAGGTAAAGTGCCATTTTTATCACATGATGTCAATATACTATCAACATGGCTTATCATTGTTGATGTTGACCTTGATCACCTGGCTGAGGTAATGATGGCCAGGTTATTTACTGTAAGGTTACTTTGGCTGCTCTTTTTCATACTCTGCTCCTCGGGAGCAAGTTCCTAAGCATAACTTACATTCAAGATGTCAGAGGACTTAAATTCAACCTCCTGGAGGGGAGATTGCCTACAGAAATTATTTGGGATTCTTCCAACATGTATTTTTCAACTTTATGGAAATAGCATGAGTACTGAATCAGTCTAACATATTTGTTCTTTGCAGGGTGGGAAACCCCGTAAACACCGGAAGGATCGGCTACAAGATTTAATTGATATAGGCTTTGGCTATGATGAGACAGATCCATTTATTGATAACTCTGAGGCTGTGAGTAATGCATCTTTAATATAGCAGTAATTATTTGTCTGGAATAGTAGGAGTCAAGGGTAAGGTAAAGTAAGTAAAATAGTTCAGTGAATGTTTTTACAAACTGATACCCTGTTGATATACATTTAAAATGTTTCTAGTTTTATACACCTATAAATAATTGAGCATCTGTGTACACTTTGTGTACTTGAGTAAATATATATATGTAAGGTAATTATAGAGTGCAAATATATGTGTAGGATAAATTTCTAGCAGTGGAATTTATTGATCAAAGGGTATTTATATCTTGAATTTTTATTGATATTCCCAAACTCGGGCAAGGTGTGTTTTCAAATGACTTCCATATGAGTATCATGTGATCTTGAGAATTGGAGCTACTGGGTTAAAGTTAATCTGGAGACTTCTTTAAAATGTACTTGACTTTGATTTTTTTTTTAAATATATTTTATTGATTTTTTACAGAGAGGAAGGGAGAGGGATAGAGAGTTTGAAACACCGATGAGAGAGAAACATCGATCAGCTGCCTCCTGCACACCCCCCACCGGGGATGTGCCCGCAACCCAGGTACATGCCCTTGACTGGAATCAAACCTGGGACCCCTCAGTCCAAAGGCCGACGCTCCATCCACTGAGCCAAACCAGTTAGGGCAAGACTTTGATTTTTTTATTGCTGCCAAGACTTACTACAATGGCGGTAATTTAATGCCAGCCTTTTACTAGCCTGTTTCAATCAAGCCCTATGCCTTTTCCCCTGGAACTCTCTTTCTCTTATAAAAAGGAAGGGAATTTAAGAGAGCATTTAAAGCCTATGGCAGTCCATTGATCCCATAGCAAATGAAGGAGGGTATGTCATGTTTTGGGTAGGTAAGGTATATTTTCTCAGTGTATTAGAGTAGTCTAAATAATGTTGTTATGATATTCTTTTCAGTGCACAGTGATTACGTAGGATATAGAGAAAGTGACACTGAAGTGATTATTATACTACCCATAAATTAATACGTCTTTTTCCTGTTATGACAGTGCTTGGTTGCATAGATGACGACAAGACATATGGTGTGGTAGGAGAGAGTGATAGGATGAGCTTCCAGCATGAGACATACTGGAGACCCTGTCATACTTCTAAGTTACTTTGGTGCCCTGACATAAACTGGTTAACCTACCAGGCAGCCTGGTTTGTAGCAGTAAAATACTGACTAAAATACCCTTTAGAGTAGAGGTTGTCAATGAGTAGGTTAGGCCATGGCATATTGTCAAGAGTCTTGACCTTGATTTGGAACTCAAGTCAAAAGTCCTAGATTCTAGACCTGACTCAGTTTCTAATTTGCCATAGACCCAGAGCAGGTCTTTTAGCATCATCCACTTTGCTATGATTGGCTTGTCCAGCAGAATTACTCTGAGACTCCAATAAGATAATGACATGCTGAAAAGTGTAAAGCATGAAAAAAGCAATAAAGCCAACATTATATGTAAAACAGACTGAATTCAAAATAACCCAAGAAGGAACTTAGTCATATATAAATGGACATTTCATGTACTGCGGCATTTTTTAAAATTAATAAACTTAATTTAATAGCAATTTTAGGTTCACAGCAAAATTGAGCAAAAGGTACAGAGATTTCCCATATATTCCCTGTCCTCACACATATACAGCCTCCCCCATTATCAGCATTCCCCCACCAGAGTGGTTACATTAGTTACAGGGAACCTATATTGACACATCATCACCCAAAGTCCATAGTTTACTTTAGGGTTCGCTCTTGGTGGGTTTTGATGAATGTATAATGACAAGTATCCACCATTATAGTACTTTACAGAAGAGTTTCACTGCCCTAAGAAATCTCTGCCCTGCCTGTTTGTGCCTCCCAATGCCCTGGCAACCACTAATCCTTTTACTGTCTCCATACTGGGTTTTGCCTTTCATAAATAGCATCTTCAATATCTCCTTTTGTAGTATTCAGAATTTTCAAATAAAGTGTTTTGCAAACTGACTTTTGCAGTCCATAATTGGATTACATATTAATTTAGAGAGGGACCAGCATTTTTAAAGCAAGTGAGATAGAAAATAATAGGAGCTGTCATGGTAAACCACTGATTGGCTCTGTGATTTTGTTGATGTGCATGTGTGTGTTCATGTGCACTGAATTTTGATGTTGATGTGTAATGTATTTTTCACCTGGTTGTGGTAAAGAAAATTTGAAAGCTACAGCTTTAATAAATAAGGATAAATTTTGTAGGTATAAGTTATATAAAAGTTATATAATTACTTACATTATAGAATAAGGTGGGTCACTGTTTTATAACAGAAAATCAAACTCAAAGTTCATGTTGTTTAATGACAAACAAGTAATTGTATATTGTTGTCTTTAACAAATTATTTGGTTCTTTTTATGAGATAATTCAAACGTAAAATAATGTGATCCAACTAAATGATTCGTTGTTCTTATCATTGATTATGTTGCCAGTAGGCTTTTACTGTTCTTATATTATTTGATAGAGTGAAAATAATCTGGTTATAATTAATTTTCAGAATCATGTACTACTTATTGCTATAAATACATGAAAATAAATGACGGTGAAGATATTTTTAGTCTCACACTTAAATACTGCCTAATTTTTAAAAGACTGAAAGAAAATTTTTTTTATTATTAATAAATAATAATACCAGACATGAGTAACACTTTTATTTAGATTGTCTTTTTAATTTCACTAGAACTTTCCTCTTGTTTTACATTTCCAAAATATTGATGTTAAGTGATTTGCTCTGGGTTACAATAACTAATCATTGGCAAAGGATTTGAATCCAAGCCTTCTGATTCTCAAGTTCAGTGTTCCATTGGATCTTAACACATTCTACCTGAAAGAATAAATTACATTTGCATAGATAATTTGTTCTCCTGAAGAGTGCTCTCGTAGGGACAGTTCAGCAGAATACTGCAGAAGACACATGTTAAGCACATCCACCTTCTTGATAACTTAGTGATGAGGGTGTTTCCCAGGTGAGAAGCTGCTTGGTGTCGTGGATGGTGGGGAGTCAGCCAGTAACTCTGCCATAAACTAATGAAATTACTCTAGCAAGGTTCTTGACTTCTCTGAATCTGGTTTTCAAATGGGAAAATATTTGTCTTCCTTACCTCACAAGGGTGTCTGGAAGACCAAGTGAAACAATGTATAAGAAGAAGAATTGTAAATGATAAAGCAGTGTACAAGTATCTGTAAGCGAAAGTACAGGTGTATTTATCTTATCTTAATTACACATTTTCAAAGTAATTATGAAGTAAAAGTCTTTTCACTTTGAATCCTTTACTCCTTCCATCAGTCCTTTACTTGTAGATATTACTGGACCCCTTTTGAAAGTCTTACCTATAGATCTTCATGTGGCCCATGGAGTGGAGCAATAAGAAAAGACTTCATGAATTTTTTTTCTTTTCCATTTTCCATATAATTTAAAAGGACACATGTTAAAATCAGAACTTTTGTACTTAACCTTAATATTCTTATAGTAACTGGTATGTCGTATAGATTTCTTGCCAATGGTAAAGAACTTTCTTTAAAAATCTGACTTCCTTAAAGACTAGTTATATAATAAGAACCCTTAAGTAGACTTCTGGAGATTTCAGGTAGCAGATATCTCGTTTCTGTTAGATAAGTAGTTCCTTTTTTCTCTCCCACTATAAATGCCTTCATTTGGTTAAGATTGACCATTTAATGGTTGCATTTTGTCCATCTTCATCAAGTAAGTCTGATTTAGGCAATTTGAGTCTCTTGCTCCAAGCAAAGTGCCTAGCTCATTAGCCCCAGTGTGTGCTTACTGAACTCAGCAGTTCCTTTCCTGCTTCCCTTTAAATCATGTACATGCTGTTTTCTTTTTGAACGTTTAAAATTTTTTCTCCACGTAGAAACTTAGAGTTAAGACAAAAGAAATAATTTTGTTGCTTTTTTTCTTTTCTTAAACATTTTATGCATTTATAGTGGTTTTCCTTGTTAACCTTGTTATTTTTTATAATCTCCTTATGAATAAAATTATATACTGATGTAGTAGGAAATGAAATTTATTATTTGTCTGGGCTTTATTTCTTTATTTATTTTAAAATCCTCACTCGAGGATATTTTCCCATTGATTTTTAGAGAGAGTGGAAGAGAGAGGGAAAGACAGACAGAAATATCCATGTGAGGGAAACACATTGATCGGTTGTCTCCTATAAGAGACCTGACCAGGGCCTGGGCCAAGGAGGATCCTGCACCCCAGGTTCGTGCCCTTGACCAGAATCGAACCAGGGACCCTTTGGTCCACAGGCCAATACTCCATCCACTGAGCCATACCAGCTAGGGCTGCCTGGACTTTTAGTTATCTGTTTTGACTTGTTTGAATTTCTCATCAGAATTACTGTCATTAAAAATAGTAGCAGTGATCCTTAAATTTTTCTCAGTAGATGATATATTTAGAATTTGTTCCATTGTTCCAAAAGTGCCTTTCTAATAAATGCTGAATGATTAGAGCTCATTTTTATTCTAGATATTAACTTTTTCTAAACTTATTCCAGAAACATACTCATCGCTGTTAGTTTTGCAGTTAGGATTTAAGGAAGATGCTGACATGGTGATTGAATTTATTTGACATATTTATAGAATTAAAGATAATAGGATATATATGAAACTTCTTTTTCTTAATCTAGTATGATGAATTAGTTCCTGCTTCTCTAACAACAAAATATGGAGGATTTTATATCAACACTGGCACTCTACAGTTTCGCCAAGCTTCAGATACTGAAGAAGAAGATATTACAGACGACCAAAAGCACAAACCATCCAAAGTGAGTTTATTCAAAATTGCAGCAGTAATGTAACTAGAAGGGAAGGTAAATTGCTAACCATTCTTTAATGAATCCATAGTTAATTACATGCTTTAAAGTAAAATTATGTAAATATGGGGAAGTGATATTTACATCACAGAACTATATTTTAAAAATTTCTCTCTATATATGTTGTCTAATAATCTGTTTCTGGGATATGGTTAAATTTCCAGGATATATGTTAAGTCTTGGTATAGAAATGACTTAATAACCATTACTTTTTCTAAGATACAATTTTTAAAGCAAATTCTATAGAATATATATATTATATTTGGGAAATGGAGAGAGTGTCCTTAGATAAGTGTTCTTTGAAGTGTGGCAAAGATGTACCAAAATCACCAAAATGTTTGTTAAAAATATAGATTATAGCCAAATCAATAAAATATATTTAAAAATATATATATAGATATATATAGATTATAAGGACCTACCACAGATAATTGAATCTAAACTGGGGTGGGAGTGATCATGGACCGCAAGAATCTGCATTTTCTTTTTTTATATGTTTTTATTGATTTCAGGGGTGTGGGGAGAAGGAGAGAGAGAGAAATAGAAACATCAGTGATGAGAGAGATTCATTGATGGGTTGCCTCCTGCACACCCCCTACTGGGAATCAAGCCTAAAACTCAGGCATGTGCCCTGACCAGGAATCAAACCAGAACCTCCTGGTTCACAGGTTGACCCTCAACCACTGAGCCACGCCAGCCAGGCAAAATCTGCGTTTTTAAAAATTAATGCAGATTGAAATTTGAGAAAAAACACTGCCCTTGGTGCTGAGTCACTAGCATCAGAGAAAAGCATTGATACTTAGATAAGTGATGCATTCTTTTATCATTTTGCAGATTCCTAAAATAAAAGAAGACGGCATTGAGATAAAGAAGCGGAAGCGGAAAGAGGAAGGAGAAAAGGATAAGAAGCCAAGGAAAAAAGTACCCAAACAACTGGGGTATGTGAAATTAAACATAAGAGAATCGTTGTCATAGTGTGACTCATTCTCCTTTTAGAAAAGTATATTTAGCATTAAATAATGTAGCTCAGCTGGGTCTAATTTAATTCAGTATTTATTAATACCAATGACCTATTAACTTATATTTTGATAATATTGTATCCTATCTAATAATAGACAAACATGGTAATTAACCATACCTCTGACACACTTCCCATTGGCTAATCAGGGTGATATGCAAATTAACTGCTAACCAAGATGGCGGCTGACAGCCAGGCAGCTGAAGTGAACAGGAGGCTTACTTGCTCCAGTGATGGAGGAAGGTTCCCCGCCTGCTGCTGCTGGACTTTCAGCTTGCACTCTAAGCAACTATGTTGCAATTATAGAAGCAAAACCATCCCCAGATACCTGCTTTCAGCAGCCGAGGTCTCAGAGCTGCAGCCAGGCCTCAGAGCTCAAGCCGGCTCTCAGCTCCAATGACAGCCATAGAAGGTAAATAAATCCCAGAATAAAAGAAAAAGGAAAAGAGGGTGGGAGCTTCAGTCGCCTGCCAGCCTGAAAACGGCCCTCACCCCCTCACCCAGACTGGCCAGGCACCCCAGGCTGGAGCCAAGCCTCAGAGCTAAAGCTGGCGGCTCTCGGCTCCAGTGACAGCCATAGAAGGTAAATAAATCCCAGAATAAAAAAAGACAAAAAGGAGAGGTTGGGAGCTTCAGTCACCCGCCAGCCTGAAAAAGGCCCTCAGCCCCTCACCCAGACTGGCCAGGCACCCCAATAGTGACCCCCACCCTGAAGCAACAAGATGGAGGCAAATTTGCATACTAAAGGTGGGCGGCAGTGGGCAAGGCTGTCCGCGGTCTGGGACCCGAATCTGTGACCCAACCAGGCGGGGGGCAGTGCTTGAGGCTGTCACGGTCCGGACCCAGATCCGTGACCTGGCAGGTGGGGGGACCGCGGGAGGCTGTCCACTGTCCCAGGACCCAGATCTGTGACTCTGCGGGGCGGGGGGCAGCACTTGATGCTGGTCCGCGGTCCGGACCCGGATCCGTGACCTGGCAGGCAGGGGGCACTGCGGGAGGCTGTCTGCTGTCCCGGGACCCAGATTCGTGACCCGGCGGGCTGGGGTCAGTGCTTGAGGCTGTCTGCGGTCCGGACCCGGATCCATGACCTGGCGGGCGGGGGGCACCGCAGGAGGCTGTCTGCTGTCCCGGGACCCGGATCTGTGACCCTACTGAGCAGGGGACAGTGCTTGAGGCTGTCCGCGGTCCCAGGACCCGGATCTGTGACCCTGCTGGGCGGTGGGCAGTGCTTGAGGCTGTCCACGGGACCAAGACACGGATCTGTGACCCTGCCGGGCGGGGGCAGTGCTTGATGCTGTCCACAGTCCCGGGACCCAGATCCGTGACCCTTCCCGGCGGGGCAGCAGCTCACACAGGGGCAGATCACCCGGGGTTAGGCAGGGCAGGACGCCTGGCTTCCACCCAGCCCCAGTCACTCTGGGCAGGTGAGCAGTGCAGAGAGCTTCTCTGGGCAGATGAGCAGCGCAGAGAGCTTCTGGACAGGGGAGGCAGGCCGGTGGAGGGCGGCCTGTACTCCCCACATGGCTGTGGTGACAGCTGTGAGTGCACCAAGCAGAGTCTGCAGGCTGAGCTGACATAGAGCCTACAGGCCATCAGCGCCCAGGAGTGGCTGTGCAAGATCTGCCTCCTGGCCCAGAAGGTGCAGAATCGCAG